GACTTCAGAAGGCTTCGAAAGACTTTCAAGATTTCATGGGACTTCACGACTGAAGTCTCTGCTGTTTCCCCCTTGGATCATGGGCACATCAATACAGAAAGATATTGACTAAACATAGCAGTGACAATAAATACTCTACTATTTCGATATAATGGTTTTCATCTATGTATTATCAGATTTCGCTTTTGATTACTGCAGCTTTTCGGTCACATGCTTCTTTTCCTGATAGTGGCTTGGAAAAGTTTATACGAAGAATAAAAGCTCGCATATTTTGATTAAGTTGTTGGACACCAAGAATTGTCAATAAGCCATGGTAACATTCGGCACTATCACATCCCAAATAAATTGTCTTTAGTTGATCATTTTTATTTTTGAGTCGCCCGAAGATGTTTTCTAAAATACTAATTCCTATTGGCCTATCTTGAGTAAATTTATCGAATATGTAACAAAATATACGATATTTCAAGCACGCACTTCGACCAGTTCATTAAAATCAATAAGAATAATGAGGTTTAATAGACCACTTTTTATAAATCTAATTAGATTGTATCATAGATCTCGTCAATTTTGAGTTATAGTAATAATGAGAGAAAGTGCATGTAATTCTATTTGAGTATCCTAGAAAAACATAAAAATCTCTTATTCATATTTATCTCTAGTATTATCTAATCACAGAAAACGAATATATGAATCAGTTTTATTTACCTTTAAAGCATAATGCAAATGTGTAGTTTCTCTGGTTATTTTTGACAGAAACACATACTTGCATATGATTTGGTTTTTCGTAGGAAGATTGTATTTTCAGTTTTACATATACTTTGAGTTGAACCATGATACTATATAAAACTAGATTAATAGGATTCTACAAACCTCATAGTAATCTTGATGGGTTTCAGAGATAGATCGATAATTTGTTAATATAACTAAATATTGTAAACGAACAACGTGAATCAAATGCCACGGCAGGCTTTTTCTATCGAACCAAGTGGTTTGTATTTCTGGGTATGTTGTTGATAACCACTTCATAGCCTAGTCAACTACTAAAAATATGCCACTTTCATTCATATGGTCAAGAACAAATTCCCTGTAAGCCTCGTAATGCACTGTTCGAAGTTGCTATTTTTTCCAGTTACATATGAACTTCGTACTTTGATGACATTAAACTAAATATTAGTATGGAATGCACGTCTTCATCCAAAGCTTTGCTATTTTCAAGAAGAAGATAGACATCATTCAAAGACGATTCGAAGAGAAAACCATCCAAACACCTAAAATAATGACAATATGCGGGTGAGAAGAATGCTTTCAATTGACAATTCCTTCTGGTCATGCTCTTGAGTACCTTCCACTATTCAATAATAATTTGTCGGGGTTTGATCGTTAAAAGCCTAACGATAACAATGCTACAGCCCAGGACTACTGGGGAAAATGTGCATTTTGTATAATAGTTTGAGATAATTACGTGATTGATGTAATATTCTTTTTAGTTCAGCAGTTCTTGAATTGAATACCTATAAGTCAATGACATATGAAGAATTATTATTAGTAATTCACTTACCAAAACAAATATATTGTTCGTAAATTTTAGATAAATCTTCAAAATCACTTGAACTATCAGATGGTATGTTATCAATGCTAGTCACTTACTTTCGCGAGGAGATCGAAAACTAGATTGAGTTGCACATCGGTTGAAAGGTAGTAGTCGTGGTTTTAAAACACAATGCCTTATCTTCTTCGATAATTCGAGAGTCGATGAAATTATGGATTGTTTTAGATAATTCGCATTTTTCTTCATTAAATGATTTTGTTTTTTGTGCCATATAGCAAATCAAATGATAGAAGAGAAGAGAGCATAAAATCAATGACGCGTTCGATTTGCTGGATAGAAAATCGTTGCGCTAGCATACGAGATATATTGATCGAATTTCCACGTCCTTTTACACGAAATTTAAATAGTAAATATAGTTCATAGAAAATCAGAAATCTTACCAAAGCACTAAGCTTGCTTCCTGACAGCTTTCATTTGCCGATCAGTAACGCCTTGATAGTGTTGTCTGAGAATATAGGATTGAAGATCACTAGCTACAATAGTTAATATTCATCATTGTGAAAACTGGTGATTAGTTCTATTCCATGCATCACTTAAGACATCTATTACTACTTCGAAGTTACTGTAACATGCTGAAATTGAGAGTTATCAGATCTAAATAAATATGCAGCGTACTCATACTTGGCAGCAACTGTCTTTTTCGATTTTTCAATCTGTTCATCAATAAGACTTCCAAATATCCTCAACCGTTTGATACCACAATTTTAATAATATGATGAGGTAGTTTTGTCACATGACAGAAAAAAATTGTATGTTTCCGGACTAAGGGAATGAAAATCAAGAGTTAATTTAACCTTTGTAAACAACTTGTGTATGACAGAATTTCTTCAAAATTTTTTCTATGTGTTTGGTAATAAGATGTATCCAATTCTTCTGATAAATCCGTAATGTCAATATAATGAGGAGAAGTAGATGCAGTTGGCGGAATGTGAATAAAGTTCTAGTCGTAAATTCACGCTAGCAAAATTATGGATTTAGTAATATTTTTTCAGTAAATTTAGATACTTACCTAATGGCGAATTAAGTTCCTTTCCTGCATCTTTTTTGATCTGATCATCTAATCCTATTCCTTAGTGTAACGATAAAATAAGAAAGAGATGTTATGATAGATTGAAGGAGTAGCTAACCGCTACTTGGCAATGATGTTTATTAGCTACTTTACATCTCCAGAATGTGTCTATTGCACATTCAACACAGGCTTATATATGATAGAGAAACAAAGGGAGAGACAATACAGAGAGAACAATAGAGAGAGGAAGAGGGAAGAGGAAGAGCAGTGAGCCGTGACGTATATATCGGCACACTTAGTTATTGCAAGTCCAAGTATTATATTCTTGTTCCACAAAAATTACTCCAAATGACTAAGACCAAGCATTTTGAAGGTAATCGCAATCCATCATAATTTCGTGAGACAGACTTTTTTCTAAACAAACTATATATTTTAATATTCATCGTTGTTCGTGTGATCAAAAAAGAGTGATGGCACTCCGAACAAATGTAAGATTGCTGTAGATTTGTAGTTTTTTTATATTAATATATTCAGTGACTAATAGAAGATGCTCAAAATTGGAACCACATGTTCGAAATGAAAGCATTGTTAAATTTAGTAGTAGTTCGAAACTAGTATAGTAACATTCGGAAAGAATCTGAAAAAATCACTGTATGCAATAATAAATGATTAATGTCAAACATTACATCTGGTTGTTTGGAGCTGAGAATAGACGAAAACTGTGCTTCATTTAAATTTTTATCGATCATATATAATTTAAAATTGTTAGACAAAGATCGAACGATACTAATTCAAGAAAAATTAGTCTAGAAACACATGCGAAAGCACCCAGTGACTGATGTAAATACTAATAATCATCAACTCGTTATTGTTCACAGAAAATAAAAGATATTTGTTCTAAGAAGAACTACTACTTTATGCATTATGTCTTTATGGTTGCGTACGATTAGCTAATTTGACCGTGAAAGAATGCTATTTTAGTTAATTGACCACAAAAGAACATGTAGAATATATACGTATATAAAGTGAAATATAGATCAAGAACGTGGAACATTCAAAGAGAGAAATATGGAATGACATGGAGAGAGAGTCGTGAAAAAGAACGAATAAAAATACATGCTGGGATACGAGAAATTACATAGTAAAGCCTATAGAGAGAATAGAAATAATAGCAGAAGTATAGGATAGAGAGAGAGAGAGAGAATAGGCAGAAAAACCAATAATTCTCTACACTATTATTCTATTCCATAGAAGACTGAAAATAGACAATATTGAAATGTAAACCATGCGCGGTGCTTTAAGACACATGTGTTGATAATCTTTCGCGATAAAATACTTTTCAAGCTTCCTAAGCATAAAGATGAAATGAGGTAACAATAACAAGGTTTCTTATGTTCTCATAGATGCTTAAACTCTCTAATGTTCGTCTTATGTCGAAATGTCATAGTGTCTAATCTATTGAAATAACTAAATATATTCCTATAAGTTCGTTAGTGGATAAGTTTGATACCATTAAGATTATGCTGATTAGGAAGCAAGATTTTCCTTCAATATTCAGATTATATCTAATAAAGAGCAGCTTTTAATTATATTTCATATACGTATTTTCTATGTAACTTTCAATTAACATAGAACTATTGTTTGAAATACAATAAAAATAAATTGAAAAAATGACGCAAAGGATTATTTTGAGTCAAAAAAAATTATATGCCGAACACATTTCTTTTTTCCAAAGAGTTATATATGAATCGATACAGTTTTCCATGCTCTTTAATAGGCTGCTATTAACTTTTTAGAAACTCTCTATCATGAGTCCTTTTAAGTCAAAAATCTGTGCAAAATGTTTCTTAATAATACTACTGTTGAATCCAGATCGATAGACTTATTGACTTTAAAGTTATTTGTGAACGCAGCTATATATAGAAAAATGATAGAGCAAAATATGCTCTATCTTATGAGATATTACAGTGCAAGGTTGATTAAAGAATGGCACACAGATCGAATAAACAGCGTAAGAGTGACAAATTACATGACTTTGTATAATTTATTGTTATTTATTACTATGGCCAGCCTCATGACTCTTGAACAAAAAGGGGAAAAGGCTGACACAGTGGACTTGCAGATTGTTTATATATGATCTTTCGATTCATAATAGAAGGACAAGACTGCCAAATTTTTCATATGCCTATGTAGACAGCAGTCTCATGGATCCTCTCCTAATTACAAATTGGCAAAAAAACTAAAGAAAACTGAATATTTCGTTTAATACATAAATTTAAAAAAAATTTCGAAGTCGTTTCGTTATCATCAATTTATTCAAAAAATTAATATTATATAAGAAAAAAATGAAAAAAAATTAATTTGTTTATATTCGTACATAGTTCATGGCATTTCACCTCGATAGATGCGTGACATAAATCTCATATATTCATCATAACTGACTCGTCCATCTCGATTATAATCCCTTCTTGATAAAACACGTTGAATTTCAAAATCATCACAAGGAATACCTGAACGTAGAAGACATTGACGCAATTCACTACCGGTTATATAACCATTATGATTTGTATCAATTTGATGAAATGCTGTTAGAAGTTCATACAATTAATCGGCATCAAGACTGTAAATATTTGTTCCATCACCAGTACGTAACATCGTTTTTTTAAATAGTATTTTCATATATTTGCAGTATAATATTTTTTTTTACTGACCAATCTATTCAATATTATAAATGCGTAATATACAAAAAACATAATTATTTATATAATGATGCATAAAAAAGAAAAAAAAATCATCCACTCATCTTACGTTAAAACGATAGGTCATTGTAATTTACCAAAGTTAATATATCTATTACATAAAAAGTTGTCAAGAGATATTTCTTTTGTATTGATAGTTATATTTGTGATAATTCTTGGTCATGAAGTTTATCATGTCTTCTCATCAATAGAATACAATCGATTGATTAAATCAACTGTTTAGCAATATAAGGAATATATATTTATTTCAATGAACAGACAAAGTAAGTTTTGATAAAGATTCTATTTATTCTGTGATCGTTTTCAATTGAAAACATAAAAATAAAAACAAAAAAAAAGTAGAATTAGTTTTTTAGTTGTTTTATTACTCTAAGCAAAATAAGGTGTTATTAAACCATAAATGTAATTAAATCTTTGTGATTCATGGTAAAAAGCTTAATAAACTCTATTCTTGAATTGTGTTAGTCATACGATTTCTTTTGGACATCTATATTGATTATTATTCGTCGTCTTTTATTATTTTCTCGGGAAATCGAGACCATGTAGTCATATTCTCAATAGATTAGTTAATTACTTCGATGAATAAATCCCTTTTTTGACAGTCTTTTGTCAGTATTAATCACTCATTATTGTCATTTTCTCGTTTTTATCCAACTTAGTTATACAAGCTTTCAATGACGAACAAAGCCGCGTAAATCATGCATTTTTTTTCTTTTCTAAACAAACAAACATAAAACGTGATTGATAATGCGTCACAACTAATATGAGATATTTCATATCCTCTTGAGAGACAATCTTTATGCTTCATTACACGCACATGACTGTATCAATAATAAGTAATGATTGTAGTAAAAAATGGATATGAAATATAAATAGGAATAAACAGAAAACGAAATATTTCGAAGTAAAATAAAGTTGAAAGTATATTCTTCAAGTTGTTTGTCGTTTTTTTGAGTCATTGATTAATAAACTCAAAATTAAATTATTTCCGACTACCGTTATTTGATTGAATTTAACAAAAAAAAAACAGAATAATTATTTGTAGACTTTGTTTGAATTACAAATTGAAAACCATCAATACTCAATCACTTTTATTTTCCTATTAGACAAATCATGAGTAAATGTTAAGAATACATGTTTTTTTATACAAAAGACTATGATATTATTTTTTTCAAAATGCAAACAAAAAGAAATTGATCGAAATCGTTGGTTAATATATAATTCATCCTCAGTATCTTAATGTCACCAGGATAAAATATATTATTTAAAATAAATAACACAATATATTTAAAAAAACTTTTTTTCATTTAAGACAATTGAAAAAAAAATGGTGCCTAATCAGTAATAATCTCCTATACTGTTCTATGATGACAACATTGAGAAATAAAATAATAGAAAGCAAAGAATAACCAGTAATTATCTTCTTCTTTTATCTATATATAACGAAGATATGTCAAATTTTGATGACATGATCAAAAATTCTAACATAGAATGATCTTAAAAGTAAAGATTGGTGGTAGTTTGGTTACGATTAATATAGTTTGCTGGAGTTGAAGTAAATCGAAAGGTAAGTTCATATAGTGAACACGTGATAGATGTTTGACAGTTATAATAAATAGGTTGACAGTTATAGCCGTATTGATGTTAGCCTCAATACGTCTGACCTTGTTGAGATTCTTGATTATCGATATTATCAACTTCGAAAATGCATCAATAACCGCATATACTGTCGAAGGAATGATAGGAACAATAATGGAAATCTACTCTTTCATTTACTAGGGAAAGTAGTGAAGTGAATAGAAGGAAACTGATTAATTTTTACTGCACAAATCAAATGGATTGTAATAGAGCTAAAGTATTTCTATGACACTAACGGATCGATGTATTTATAGATAAACTCCAATATTAAATTGCAAAATACACAGAAGAATGTACAATGTAGTCATATATTACTGTGACAGGAAATCTGATTGCATCATAAATTTGTTTTTTTGAATTTTCGATATATTTCCATTCAATAGTGAAACATATCAATAGTCGATGTCGATCTTGAAATTAATATTGACTATAATATAAACTTGAAATTAAATCTATAAATTGAATTGTAATTATTATAATCTAATCAATAACATTAATGGAAATCAATCAAATGTATAATAATAACAAATAATTTATTTACAATAACTATTAATACCAATATATATAATACTCAAGAATTATGCTCTTTCTTGGATTTTTATCAATTAAATCTCAAGATTGATATTCATCTTTCTCATACATTATTATATTTTTATTCCCGTAAATCAGTTCTAATTAAACTCGATTTGTATAATTGTATTATAACATTAGCTTTCGTATATAAAACATTTCATTAGTGCAATTGATTGTTTTAGAATTCTCTTTGCCGAAATAGTGTTGATACAATTTTTTTGTATTTATTATTAGAGATTTATTTTCCAACTTCAAAAATAAGCTTTTTCTTAACTATTGGAACAATTTCTTACTCCATTTGTAAACTTCATGACATTCTCTCTTAATCAGATCAAAAGACTATTCTTTTTTGTTTTCTAAAGTTATCAATATTATAGCATCGTTAGAATGCACTGCACATATTTGTCTCTCTTTGTTACTTATCCACTATTTAAAAAAAATCTCCAAGATTTTATTTAGCATATTATCCAAGACTATTCAATGGATGCAAACTTGGTTTATTATAAGTAAATATTAATTTATAGTATTCAAATATTCATTACTCTACTAAAACAAAATCAAATTAATCAACATTATAATATTAACTTATTGTCGAACTATGCTGTTGTGAGTAGTACTACGTAGTTTCAACGATGGTGACTTCACTACATAAAGAACCTAATTAACCTCTGATGACAAGAAAATTGCTATCATTACTTAATGTAACCACACTGATTGTCACTATATCGATGTATAACCATTTTGATCGGTCATTTCATCGAAATGATAGGTTTCCTCAGAATATAAATGATTTCAACTTTTCTTGAAAACTAATGAATTTGATTGATATAGAACGAGTTATTACAATTTGGCTGCTAAAACAGCAGCAAGTATAAATAACATAATATATTCAATAAATTGTATATGTTCTAATCTAATATATGTGTGAATGAACTGTCATCAAATAGGTAGCAAACTAGAACGTGATTATTCACCGCATGATAATGATCATGGAAATGAAAAATCAATTTATTTATTCTGAGAATCTTACTTTTCAAATACACAGCTAATAGAAAGTAATCCATATGTTTTTATTTCTATATAAAGAACACTACATATTTATTCAATTTTTGAAAGACAAAAAACGAATTTAAAATTCATCCCTAATTTTAATTAGCCTTTCTTGTCTAATTTAAAATAACAGTTGATTCTTACTACTGAGTAAAAAGAAATGAGCATAAACAATACTTGAGGTACAGCTCATTTTTTTAAAAATATATTCTTTCAAGATTTCGAAATATAACTAATCACATCATCTTATATTTTCATATTATAATTATACGAAAATTTATTTTGTATAAACTGCACTAAACAGAAGTAAATGTTCGTGTAGGTATCGACAGTTTGTTAAAACATTTTAAAAAATTGTAAAAAGAATTAAATTTGAGCAACATTTGGTATATGTGTGACTTATATTTATCAAAAATGCATTCTAGAAAATAGCAATGATATTACTTTGCTTAATGAAATAATAATAGAAATATGGAAATTTCCCACATTGAAATTTAATCGAGTATGAAAAGTAATCACATTGAGAACAACATCTCATAAGACAGATAACGAATATTTATCAGAGCAAAACAAATGTAATTATTATTGTTTGTAAAAGATTTCTATGCATGAATAGAATTGCTGATATACTTCATTTGTCATGTTCATACAGATGTAAGTGTCTCTGTTTAGTATAAAAAAGTAATTGTTAATTTTCTTTTTGATTCCAGTAACAACAAATGAGCGAAAAATCATAATAAGATTCTCTCTCTAAAAAACTTCTTTATCTAATATTTATCGTCTCTGATCTTCTAGGATTTTTTTTTCCATAACTAAAGAAACAAAAATACTTTCAAGTAATATCACAAGCAAGAAAATTTGAATTAATTATTTTTTTTTCATCTTAGTGACATGATTCATTATAAACAATAAGTATTCATTGCTCAATAAATATTCTATTACTATAGACATAATATCTTCATCTTCACTATTATACAACTGTTATACGCTTGCATAGATGAGGCGGTATCAAGGCTAGTTAACCTTCTTTTGTCATGATAATAGTTACTGATATTTCTCTGTATCATGATGATGTTCAAATGCTGAGCAATGAACGTTTTCAAATGAGTTCTCTTTCGTCTTGAATAAGATCGATATCGAAAAGAACTTGTATAAGAACTTCAGATCACATAAGAAATAATATATTTCCTCTTAGTGATGCTTCTAGGATTCCCTATGCAATCATGGATATGTACAACAAATTAATCAACAATTTATGATGACTACTGTACAAGTCTATATAATGACCACCTTTTCGCTAAAATTGAACCAAATCGAGAAATTTTGTGTATCAGGTATAGTTATGTTTTCTCGTAATTTCTCAACAATTTTATATTATTTTAAAATATTTTCTATAGTTGTCGCTATATTATGCGGATATTTATTTTTCATATATGATTGGTTATTTGGACCGGCTTAAGGTTTTTAGCTTGCCAAGTCATCATCTGCTATTGGTGTAATAAAGAAAGGAGAACGAATTTTTTGGTTATTTTATTTCTTTTAGATTCGTTTCATTTGATAATTAAAAAAAAAACACCCAACTAAACAATGGAAAATCTCTATCGGCTCCCTTTTACTGTTGTTCAATGTCCAAATTTAAAATTAAAAAAGCCATCATGGGTTCGAAAACCTTCAAATACAACGTGAGATGAATCCATTTTTATCTATTTAATTCTGGTTTTTTTTTTTGATTATTAGAGTTTTATTTGGTTTACTTGTTTCTTATTTTCTTGTTACTGCCGGTGTTATTTATGATATTATTGTTGAACCACCAAGTGTTGGTTAGTAAAATCAAAAAACAAAAAAAAAAAAAAGAATTTTATTTTAAACTATATCAGTGTTATTTTTTAGGTAGTACGACTGATGAATATGGTCATTATAAACCAGTTGCTTTTATGGCATGGCGTATTAATGGTCAATATATAATGGAAGGTCTTGCTGCTGCATTTATGTTTACATTAGGTGGTCTTGGATTTATTTTACTCGATCAAACAAATAAACCAAATATGCCACGTCTTAATCGGGTATTAATGATTATTTGTTCATTTATCTTTATTCTTGTTGCATATTGTGCTACAAAAATTTTTATTCGGTAAGTTAAAATCAAAAAGAAAACAATAAAAGTCTTATTAATTTTTGATTATTTTAGTATCAAGATGCCAAGTTATTTAACTTAAACTTAAACACAAATCAATTGATTAGTGTTCATTATTATTCGTCGTTTTGGGGATTTCTTTCTTTTTCTTTTTTTTTTATTTATACGTAGCATTGTTTTTCTTAATCATTGATTATTGTTTTTTCTTCTCTTTCTATTCACTGTTATTGTTATCATTTAAACTACAGTTTTGATTTTTGAAAGAAAAACAAATGACACATAAAGAGTGATTTTAAGAATTCATTTCACTATATCTCATTTATAATGCCTCACCAGTTTCATGAATATTTTATATTTTCATTCTGAAGCAATTACATATACATAGTTATACAATTCGGAAATGAACTTTTTTATTTCTAAGATCATTTGTGAAATTCCTATACCATACAAATATTGAAAACAAACTAATAGCATATAAATATTGAGTATCATGAGTGACTATACAGCATAAGAAATAAATTGATAAGAAGAAAAATTTCAAAGGTTTAAAATTACAGATATTATACCGAGTAGATATGTTGCATGAAGAATTGAATAAATTTATCTCAAAGTTGTTTAATCAAGAAGATGAATATAATTTAGCACACCGTAGAATCAAGAATAAAAATAATCTGATAATGTATGGAATGAAATGCTGACAATGTTTGAACAGTTCATAAAAAGATACCTGTAGTGCAAATATACAACAATCTTAAATATTATCAAAATATAACATGCCTCAATTAACCAACGGTTAAATATAATCGGAGTGATTGAACAAATACTTAATGTTCATCGTCAAATTAAATCAGCGAAAATGTAAGTGATTATCAGTACGAGTTCTAGCAAAACGAGCATAAAAAAAAACGATGAATGCGAGTATATTTTGATCCTTCATTTAATTATTCGTGATATTGATGTGGTCACATCGACAAAAGTAATTTATATGAGTATGAAATTAGTATTAACGATATGAGTCAGATTAATATGAATATTGTATTAAAAACAATTGCATATTTAATCAATTTGAAATAGTATTGTAATATGCATATTCAAATTATTTTGTGTTGTCAGCTACCATACTGCTTAATTTATTAATAAAATCAGATAAATAAAATGATACAAAAAGTCAATACGAAAAATATTAAAAATGCATATCGTTTGTTTTACATATTTATTTTGTTTCAAAGAAATTAATTTACTTTATGCAAGAATTATTTTTAATAATTAAAAAAAATATCTCAAAGATGATTGCAGTTGTCGTAGATAAAAAAAAGACTGACATTATGGCTAATCTAGATGAAGTATTTGTAAATGAGAGCTTTTATCCAAAGCCTCCTAAACCAGTTTCTTTGGAGGTATATGTCTTTTTTTTAATACATGTTACTCCTATATACGCTATAGTTGTCATATAATAGGTCAGAAAACATTCTATTTCACTCACACTCCAATATATATTGATTCTTATTAAAATGATATCAATGTTTATTCGTTAGTCTTTGCTTCCGTGATTTTTGTAATTAATACTGGTATTTATAAATCATTTTATAATGTTGAATATATGTTATAGTTTGTAAAGGAATTAAAAGCCTTCAAATAGTTGCCATGTATTGTATCTAATAATGCAAAGATAGAAAAATATGTCACTTAAATTTTATGTGATAAAAACAGATCCATCTTGTTCTCATTTAGATCTTAAAGGAATGTTAAAAGTAAAACAAAAAAAAAAAGCTAACTGAATCTAGTAAGTAATAATAATAATAATAGCAGAATATATTCAATAAATAATTTTTGTTAATATGTGTTTTTGAAAATATACATGTTCTAAAACTGTCTTATCTTATTAATGTTAGCCATCATAAATAGAATTTTATATTTGATATTTAAAAAATACATATACATATTTTGTTTTTATGCTCAATAATCTTGTTTTTATTTGTTATTTCAAAAAAAAAAGATTGAGCATGAATAATCAACGGAAAAAAATCTCTTCTTTTTTATTTTCTTGTATCGATTTGATATGTATAAATAAATAAAAACCCTAATATTTATATAATACCAATTCGATTAGCAACATCAAGTGCATCATGATCAGCTTTGAGTCTAACATAAGCTTTCTTTTCACCATCAGGTCGAATTAATGTATTGACTTTTTCAGCATCAACATCATACATTTTTTTGACAGCTTGTTTAATTAATGGTTTATTAGCACGAATATTGACAATAAATACTAATGTATTATTATCTTCAATTTTTTTCATAGCCGATTCAGTTGTTAATGGATATTTAATAATAGCAAAATGATCAAGACGATTTCGTTTTGGTACTGATCGTCGAGGATATTTAGGTTGTCGTTGTAAACGAAGTGTAAATGGACGACGAAATCTTGGTTTTGTACGAATTTTACGTTTACGTGTTAATTGATTACCACTAAATCATCAATAAAGAATTAAATTTTTTTTTTTTTTTTTTGAAAAGATTTTTTCTTTTTTTTTCGTATTTACCGAACAACTCGTTGTTTAGCTTTAAGTGCCTTTGTTTGAACCTTTTCTTTACGATCTTTTGTAACAACTTTAGTAGCATCTTTACCTGATGCTGTTGTACTACTAGTTGGTTTTGTAGGCTTTTTGGCACTTGCAGTTGCTGTTGTTGTTGTTGCAGCTGTAGTGTCTTTCTTTTTTGCTGTAGCTGAGGTCTCCTTAGTATCTTTTTTTGGACCCATATCAGAAAGTTAAGATCTAAAAAAAACTTCAATATTATCTTTAAATTTCTATTCTCTATAGAAAATGAAAACTACAATTACATATTGTTTATCGGTCTATTTTAATTTCATTTTGATTGGACTAATTTTCAGTCAAATTTCACATCAAAATTCTCACTATTCTATAAGAAAAATTATTCAAATAATTTTATTTTTATAATTAAATATTGTTTTAAAGAATATTTTTCCTTTGACAAATTTTGAAGATATCCTAGATGTCTCTATCAATCGGTATGGAAAGATTGATCTCGGCTTATTAGACCAATGTTTTCAATAGTGGACGTATCAAATAGAATTAAAATGTACAGAACATCTACAACTTTTGAAAATTGTATGTAATATCGAATTTAAGATTATGTTTACTGGATAAACTTCTGTTTATCAAAGACGAGATCAATTCGATTCCAAAAAAAATCATAAATCAATCTGTGAGATCTTAATCTCACTTGTAATTAACTTCTGTGTATAGATGTATATATTCAAATTCTTCGCAACAAAATAACGATTATACATAAAACGATAATAGAAGGAGTAAAATTCCATAGATTATGATGAAGAAAGGGAGATTCCTAAAACAAGTTTAAAGAAAGAAGATCAGAAGGAAAAAGAAAATATCCAAACATACATATATGACAAGAAGGGAAAATCCATGACGTATGATTAACAAAGAGAAGAGCTTAAACATATATATAACCACATAGACAATGACGAAACTCTTATAATTTCATTTGAAGCAGTTATAACTAGATTATATTATGATTTCTTCTTCTGATGTTTATTTTCTTGTAAACATGTCAAATGATAAAACTAGTATGTGTATTTACCGCTTATTAATTTGCTAAATATTAATATATATGTTCTATGTGGAGAAAAATATAAACATAATTTTCTGTTTTTCTTTTAATTGTGAAAAAATTGATTTTACACTTTGCTGACGAAAAGAAATACACATTGCTCGTATAAGCAAAGTGTAAAAAAAATAAAAAACATTCTGTTTTAGATTTCTATTGAAAACATTGAGCTACACATAGACAATGATCTAATATTTTACATGATTAGGTTAGTCACTTGTTACTTTCAATTCTGGTTGATTTGAATATATATATAATTAGTACAATTTAGAGAATCATATTCTTTATCAACAAAAGATTCTTTTGAACTTATTTTGTGTCAATACGATGAAAAAAAGAAATTAGATGAAAACTAATTTCTTCGTACTGAAATTCACAAGTTTTAGCATGTTTTTTAAGGATCTTACTATGAAACATAATTATTAATTCAACTGCGAATAGAAAGAATAAGAAAGGATTCTTCTTATCTAGATAATGATTCTTAGTTCAAATGAAAATTAATTATTTATGAATGTATAGTCAATTTAAAAGAATAATCAGTAGTATAAGTGTGTGTGACTTGAGTAATATTAACAAAATTAATGAGTATCTTTTCTAGTAAATCAAAAACGTATAGTCAATCAGCTATTTTTTGATTATTTGTACTCGTCGTCCTTGTTGCTTTTTTATTATTCGTTGTTGGTAAGAACCAATAAAAATCTTGATTTCTTTCTCCTTGTGTAATCAAAATGATTCAAAAATATGAGTTTCACACCCATAAGTACGAACTATTAAAATTATAATAAATCATTTCAATTTTCATTATATCAATTCGATTGTTTATTTTTTTTTTTGCAAGATCGTCATTTATTCGATCTAGGTTATCGTCGTGTGTTCGAAATAGAAAATAAAAGTCCTTAGACAAAGAGAGAGAGAGAGAGAGAGAGAAGAAAGAGACATTGCATTTATTTGTATATATATATTCTGTCATTCACATATATAACACGATAAAAGTAAGGAGAATATTCTTTGTTTTTTTTTTTTTTTTTTGGTCTGTGAAATTATACTTTTTGTTATAGATTAATTTATAATTCTTAATCATGTCTGGTATTAAACGAACACGACCAGATGATATTCCATCGATACAATCTCAGACAACAACAACGGATAAAGGATCACCAAAAATTGAAACATCATCAGCTTTTGTTAATAGTATTGAAGAAGAATATAATTGGTAATTAGAATAAAATTTATAATTTCGTACTTTTTTTTTTTAAATTTTTATTTGTTTGATTTATATTAGTCCAATCTGCTTTGAATTAATTAGTGAAGCATATGTTTCTCGATGTGGACATAGTTTCTGGTAAAATTTATAAAAAATCAATATAGAATTTATTAATGTATGTTTTTAATTTGTAGTAGTAAATGTCTTCAACGAACAGTTGAATCTCATCGTCGATGTCCAAAATGTCAATTAAGTCTTCAACCATCGGACATATTTCCTAATTATACATGTAAGAAAATTAATTATATTCAATTTTAAATATTTTCATATATAACATAAGATTGATTATTTAATATTTGCAAAGTTATCAAAGTGAATCAAGTCATTTTGAGATCTACAATATTTTAATATTAGTTTCGATCGTTGAGAATTATTCCAATAATTCTTTTAAGTAGTTTACAGAGATGCAATATATTCGATTTTAGGCCAAATCGAACCGAATTCAATTCGTGTTCGAAAAAAAAAACATAAACTGATCTCATATCTTAGTAATTCACTTGAACTTATAAATTTCAGTTGTCATAGATCTGGTAATTGTACAGATAAATTAATGAAATGAAGGATTATATTGTTCAAAATACTATCGATAGAACTGTTGCTTGCGATGAGTAAAAATCATGTTTAAATCTTTGATATCGTATTAGTATGACTTTTATAGAAATATAGATAGCAAAATTGCTCATCATTTCAGTTATGTTTTAAGATAGCACAATCAATAAAACTCTAATGCGTCGATTTTGTCACCTAACAACAAAAAGACTGTCAGTGTGATTCTATGAAGAACTAAAGTGTGAAATTCACAAACTCTGACTTATAAATTTATGTTATATTGTCAGGATGTGCTAAAAAATAATTTACTTGTATTGTCACATACATCTTCAATACATAAACTTCTTTTGTATGCCATAGGAAATGATAAATAGCATTCTTTGTTTGTTTCATCGATTCCACCACTGTATTAATATACTGTACAAATTGATTTAATCGTTTAGTAAACGTTTGAACATATCATCCATCCTCTCGACGAACTTTTGACATGTACTATTAAGCTTTGGTCTAGATTTAAAATTGAATTAGTTCATACATTCCTATGTTAGTTCTATTCTGATTCTACTAGATCAATAATACCATTGTTCTATTGATTGACATCTATAATAAGATGTTTTTACTACACTAAACACTATAACTCACAATGTTTAGACTAGTTAGAAATTATAGTAGAAATTTTAGATTCATATAATGTTTTGAAAGGTTCTTGAAAGTTGCAAAATGATTGTTAGTCTCCTCCTACATCCCAGTTAATGGAGGCATGCACTCGATCACCGTTACCCTTCCTCCTCCACTTCTAGTAAAATGTACTCCGTGATCTGTAGCTTTTCTCTTTCCATCCACGGTTGCTACGGTCGAGGGGTAGATGGAGCTGCAAAACCCTCGATTTAAACTAATATTCACTAATTATATTTTCTTCGCAAATACATGTGAGTTTCAAAAAATATGTCACGTGGCACTAGATAACGATGATAACTTAATGTTTATATATCATGTTGATCAAAATAAGTTAAATTCTTTCAAAAATTAAAACATATATTGATTTATGTTTTTGTTTGTTAATAGTAAACGCAATAATTGAAAAATATCGTCAACAACGTCCTTTACCTCAAACATTCGCTAAATATGGCGTGAGTAATTTTGTTATTTTTCAATAACAAATTTGTTAATTAATTCTTCATTTCTAGAGTATTGTCGATCATATATCTGATATGGTAACAAATATTAATACATTAAATCCTCAAGAACTTGATCGATTGATGACTATTATTCGACAACATAAAGAAAAACTTGATTCAGTTTGTTTTATTTATTTATTTATTTATTTTTTTTAAATTCTTTTATTATTTCTTAATAGAATAATGAATATATTCATAATCGTTTACTTGAAATATTTCTAACACATGTTCATCATGAACGAAGTGGAGTAAATGAAAAATTTATTTTTTTTAATTTTCTTTGAATATAATTCTTTGATTATAGGCAATTGAATCATTATCAAAAGAATTAAATATTGTTGATCTAGATTTAAAACAAATGAATAAACGACAAAAATGTTCATCATCATCATCATCATTATCAAATATGAATATTCCAACAAATTCAAATGTTAAACAAACTATAGATGATAATCCATTATTATCATCAAATTCAACAAATGATATGAAAGATGAATTATTATCATCATCATCATCAAATGATATTACTATTGTTAATGATACTGTACCAAATTGGGTACAATCAGGAGGACAAGTTAGAATAAATTAAGAAAATAAAATTTTGTAAGATTTTTTTTTTAATTTAAAAGGATCTTCGAGCAACACCTGATATGAAAATAGAAAAACAAGATGTAGTACCAACAACAAATTCATCAGCAACAACAACAACTACTTCGAGAATTGTATCAACTGGTGCTATTGTATGTTTTTTTTTTAATTATTAATTTTTCTGTTTTAATTTAATTATATTAATTAAGGTTCCCGAAGAAACAAATCAATATGATGACATAGAAAATCGAACAAAAATAATGATGCGTTTTATGGATGATTTAACAAATATTTATTTTTCAACAAGAAATTCTTTGAGATTAACTGTTGACAATGGTTTGTTTATTTCTTTTAATGATAAAATTCATTATTTTTGAGTTATTTTATATAGATGGATCATGGAATGGTGATAGTGGCTTAGGTACATTTCGTGATAGTCTTGCAGCTGTAACAAAATATTCTCGTTGTAAACCAATTGCTACTGTTAATTTTGTTGGAGAAAATTTTGCTCAAGCTAGCATTGTCTCAAGG